TAAACCTTAATATTAATCTTGCGACCACAACATACCATTTTTAATCTTGCATTCACATACAAAATTATACGCTTTTATTACTATTACGTTCTTTACTACAATTCAAAATAATTATTTTTCATTAGTAATGACTTCGTATCGAATGTTATTCAAATTAAATCATATAATAAAATTCATTAAATTATCATGCTGTTTTATCTGTATGTTTTATTATTCTTTTTTAATTGATATGTTTCATATTCCAATATTGTAATCACATTTTTATCTATGTTACATTTACAATTAGTAGCGTGTTGTAAAACGAGAGTGTGTAATTTGATCGAATTACTAATGTTCCTTGAAACATTTTTTTTTCACTTACATATATAAATATATACTAATCTCGGATTGTACATACAGTACATTTAAAAACTACAGATTATTCCAGATTTCTTTATTAACGCCTACTTATTGTCATGTATTTGGTGACGATAAGAAGATACTACTATAGTATTCTGCTTTTTTCTGTTATTATTACATACAAAAATGTAATTTTATTATTAATTTAGGTATTATTAAAATATTATAGCCAAAAAACATTCCTCTTAGCTTTCAAATAAGTCTCTGTATACACCTTTTTTACTTTTTATTATTTTGCACCACAATATTGATTTTTCTTCTTCCGTGGTATTATTTATTCACAGAACTTCTTCCATATACCTTACAAAGGTCGACATGTAAATTTTACTAGGTTTGTTATAATTTAATCTTTAATTAACAGTTTTCTTATATTAATAATCCGCCATTTATATACTGTATATAGATGAAACAAGTAGAAAACCTGAAGGGAGTAAGAATTAATTAAAAATTGCATTTGTACTTTAAATAAACTAAATTTATATGAAGCTGGATATTGATAGATAAGAATTATGTCTTTATATGATATTCAAATAAATTACTTCAAAATATATAGAATATATATGTTAAATCTTATGTATTAAATTATTATTTTAAAAAGTAATAATGAAGTGTAAAATTTATGTCTATTTCTAATTTTAGAATTATGGTAAAAAGCCAGTAAATTAACGTTTTACTATAATTCTCGAAGATCACAAGGATTTACATATCTTAAAGATATATATAATTGATTCTATATAAAATTGTGGGATATATTAGAAATGTTTTAAAAGTAAAATCGTTTAAAAACGATGCAAAGTTTAAGAAAAAGCCATCTTTCGTAAATATTCTATAATTTAATACAAATATAATGATAAGTTTACTTAATTTTAATTAAAACATAAGTTAGACTTAAGTAATATTTATATAAGGAAATTTAAGAAGAAAAAACTACGAAAATAGCATAACAATTAATTAAACATATTTCTATGTAATATCTATGTAGATATGGAAAAATATTCTGATATTTTAAAGTATAAAATGAGATTTTCTATCTAATTTATTTATAGAAAGCAATTGATTATAGCAAAACGAATTTACTAAACAAAGACGAATTGCTTAGTAAAAAATTTAGTAATAATTTAAAAAAGAAAAAATAAGAATAGAAATCCTAAATGTTTTTGAATTTTTAATCTATTGAATAAGGTAAAGATAGTTTAGATTGAAAATTGTAGATCTATTTTACTGTGAAAATTTCATAAATATAATTTCATCATTTTATATATTATAAAACAATATTTTTAGAAGGTTTCGCAATTTTTTAAACAATTTATACAATAACGACACTAAAAAACATTATTAATATTAATTCAATTTTAAAATATTATCATGTAACTGTAGTTTATATTAGTATATATAATAATAATTATTATTATTGCAAAAATAATTTTTTTCAGGACATTAACTCAATTAATTTTATAAATTTCAAGATAAAATTTAATTAAATTTTGTAACATTTCAACCATAAAATCTTTTAAAAATTTGAAACTGCAGTAAAATGATGAACGATATTGTTTATGACGCAATGAAATCTCAATGAGCCGAAAAAAACCGGTACACTCTTTCCAAAATTCGATTGTACCGCCTGAATTATAGAAATGCTACAGGAATTTCACTATTTTATTTTCTCAGTAAATTTATCTTTTCCTATGGAATATTTTATTAATCACATCAAATATGAATGAATTTATCAGATTACAATGAAAAATTTCTTTATCCACCTTAATTATTGAATATTACTCCAATTTCGAATATAACTTTATTATATACACACATAGGAAACATATATATGTATACAATTCCGAATGCTAAATGTGTTCCTATGTGCATAATAGCATCACTTTATGGAATTTTAGAAATTAATAACAAAGGAAAAAGTTGCGTTGTAAAAATATAATGTTTAAGACTCAAAATAGTTTAAATTCCCTCTCAACAACGGACAGTTTTTAATGTTTAAAAAATTATACAAAAAATTTATTATAATATGTAATTAATAGAAATATTTATTAGATAAATACCGTAATATAATAATTTTCATATCTATAATAAATTTAAATTTGTTTAATACGGGTAATAATATAAAACGTAACTTAATGAGTGTTTTATTTAACAGAAAATTAATACACATTTATCATATTTAAATAAATAAAAATACTCCAATTATTTTAGATTTTCTTGTTAATGCTGAAATTAATTTAGTATATATTATTTAAAAAATAATTATTAAAACGTTTTGAAATAAACACATTTGCTTATTATTTATTGCTTAAAATATTAATATAATCTTAACAACATTTAATATTAAAAGTCCAAAAAATAAAGATAATTTTAAATGACGTTAATTTATAATGGCTTAAACTTGTAAACATTTTAAATATAAAATTAATAATCGATATTATTTTTTCTCTGTATTATTATTATTATTTATTTTTTGTAAATGTTAGTAAAATGAATATAAAAATATTTAAATAAATTAATTATTTGGAAATTATTCTTTCTCTGTAACTATGGAATCACAAATTATCCGCATGTTCTGTATATTTTTGTTAATTACTACTTAATTACTTTTTAGAAAAGATTAATACTTAATTTTTATTATATATTTTTTTTAATTTCTGTTTGCTGGTACAGTTTAATTTAAAATTAATTATCCAAAAACTTGTATAAATTTTATAACAACGAGTCTAGGATATTGATAGACTAGCAATTCATCAAATACCACGTTGTATAAGAAATAAAATTATATATTTAAAATTTCAATATATAATTTATAAAATTTTTTAATTAATTTCTTTAGATTTAAGTATTAAAAACAGATTTATTTTTGAACCATTTCTCACTGTTGATTTAGTTGGATATCAATTAAATTGGAATCTTTGGTGTTAATATCAGTGTTTATATATACTTTATTTCTTGCAATTCAAACATTACTTTCGTTTCTTTTTGTGGGTATTTTCTTTTATCTGGCGCCTCTACTTTTATTTATAGTCCTACTCAACAGACTCATTCACTAGTTGCTTAAAAAGTTTTAGATGACATTAAAGAATCTTTGTTTATATATTCCTTTTTTTTAAAATCTTATCTGATTCAAATCATAAAACTTATTTACTTTGAGAAGTGCTTTTAAACAAATAAAATATATTGAAATTGTAAGAAATTCCGGATCGAATTTAAGTTTTTGTTTGTCTTCAAACATCAATATAACAATCATTTGTGGATTTCTTGAAATTGCTAACTTTTAAAAGAAGAAAAAAAAAAGCCGAATTTCTGAATACACTCTCATTAAGCTTTAAAAACTTGATGAGAATTTAAAAAATTACATTAGAAAGTTAAAAATTAAAAAATAAATAAATTAGTAAAACCGAGAGTTTGTCTCAAACATTTTTTATTTTAGTATTTTTTTAAATAAAAATTAACAGTGATACAAAATTTTGATATTTATTTAAATTATTCAATTGTTGATTTTATTACTTTATTCACCATGTTTTGAAAATCAACTATAAAATAAGCGAGAAAAAATCTTCTATGTGAAATTTGCAAGCAATATAATCATTGTTAATTGTTATAATTAAGTGTTATGAAGTACTTGACGTCAATGGTGTTAAATAAATTTTAAAACAAATTTTTTTTATTTTCTATTAAAATCTTCTAAAGATAAAATTTTAATTACCCTGTTATGAATATAACTGGTATAATAATTAGGAATAAGAGTGTTGTAAATTTTCGAAGAAAATCGACTACTCGCCATTATCTTTAAATGTTAAAAATTATAATTTCGTTATCGATAAAGTTAATTTTTTTTTTATTTTTTATTCATTCAGGCATCATTACGCACAGCAAAATGGGTGAAGGAGTTTGAAATTAATTTTTCACTCCTGCACGCTTGTCCAGTTTCGTTTAAATATTCTAAGCATTAACAAGCTTCGTTTCTATTTGAAGCATCGTTCGTTTTTAATTTAACTAAATTACAGGTTTTAATTGAAGACAGCGACCATATAATGGAACAAGAAAATAATGAAAGTTAACGAGTAAAAATTACATCAACAATGATGCACTTTAAATGCAGTCTACGTATGTACTTGATTAATATTCATTAAGGTATTTCACTATTTTCTCACAGAGGCATGTCTGATAATAATAAAAAAAATTCTATAAATGGATCGTTACTATTTTCTAATAATGTAATCTGTCTTGCGTAAATTAAAAATATGTTTGATGTTTACTAATTGCTGTGATTAATTCTATTTTCTTATTTTCCAACCTTGTATAATTACAGATTAACGTCTATGGTATCTGATGAATAATTAAAGAGATTTAATTTGTTTTCAAAGTAAAATGACATCTGATAATTGAAGATTTATTTTAGAATCAAACTAATAACATCAAGAAATGGTTCATCTAAGTTTTTTGCCTGAATATAAAGAAATTTAATATGTAAATTGTAATTAAATTTTTTGGTCGTTCTTTCCTTGTGATATATTCAGTAAATTCATTTTTTTAATTTTTCTATTTTTATAAATTTGTTTTCTTAGAAATAAAGAATACAACTTTAGCTTTAAAAAGAAACAAGTTAGTTTTTAATATCATGGCAATTTGTCTCAACATACACAGAACAGTTGAGAGGAACTGAATTAAGTTCGGAAGATAACAGAAACACTTCCTTTTATTTTAAACTACAAACGATTTCGAATTTAAGTTTATATGAATATATATAATGAAGAAAAATCGCAAGATTCTTTATAAAAAACAATAAAATTCTGTTTGTTTATCAATTAGATAATGATCAAAAATGAGTTTCAGTTCAATAATATTGACACGTAAAAGTCACTGAAAATGTCCAATGGTGTTCAATTATAGAGAATATAAATTTAAGAACACTGTCTTTGTTGCACATTCACCTCTATAGAACAGAGAGATTTCTATTTTAGTCTTCGTAAAAATCCAGCAAGAAAATTTCCCGAATTATCGAATCCATTATCTAAACAAAAACTTTTACTGTTTCAATTTTATTTTGATTCCTTTATCGAATTTAATTGAGCAATATACTTTATTATAAACTTTTTATGTTTTCTGAACATATATCTCGATTCGTACTCCATAATTTATAAACGTTTTTTTTTTAATAAATAATTTCCTGTAATATAGATTATACCTTTTCTTATTCATATTTTTTTTATGAGTCTTTCAAATTTTCAATAACCTACTTCATTTAAATAGATTATTTCACAAATATAACTGTAATGTTAATTAATATTTCTGCCGGAATCTCAATATATTGAAATTTTGAAGATATTTTATTTTAAATAATATAACTAAATGTCTTTCTTTGTCATCTAAACATACGTGTTTTCATATTTAATTTTAATAGTAACCATATTTGTTCATTTGAATAAATTTTTCAGATAAAAATCAACTTGTGTCACAATATTATGTAAATCCCACTTGTTAATAAATTATATATACCTGTACTAAAATTCGTCTTACATTATCAATAACACAATTACATACACAAGAACATTTCAAACGTGTATGGCACCGTTTCTGTCACAACCACAAGACACTCCAGCTGTCCTCTGAAATGTTGCAGGACGGTCCCGTGATAGTCCTTCTACTTTACTCGCTCTTTCCTGACTATCTGAAGTGATAGTACTTGTAGGAGAGGAAGAATCATCCCTTCCACTTTCTTCTGAAGTTTCTTTACTCGGTTGTCCGTCGTCAGAAAGTTCAATTTTGTTGCATTCGTGATCGGTTACTTCCATTTCTGAAGAACCGTCTCCTCTTTCTCGTTCGAGGATCTTTTTATCGGCTTTCTTTTTTAATGTGTCCATAAGTTCACCGTGAAGTCTAACATGAAGAATTTCGGGAAGAACTGGCACAGGCACAGTTCTAATTTCTTCCTCTGGTGAAGGACTAGAATACGTTTCACCGCTCATTTCGCTTGATATTGTTTCTTTCATTAACCAAACACGGGGAGTAGTTCTATCATTAACACTCGATGCTTCTTGCCTATCTACTTCAGATGTAGGAAGGCCTTCGTATCCTCTCGGAGGTTTTTGCAGCGGTGAAATTCCTAATAACTGAAGATCCATATCCTCTGTAGAAACATGAGGAGTAGCGGGACTAACTGAGTTAGCCAATTTGTGATTGACTTCTAGCCGCTTTCCAATCGGTGGAGGTCTTCTACATATGTACATACCAACAGCTATACAGATTATTATTAACAATGCACCTAATACAACGCCAACTATAAGACCTGCTACAGGACCAGTATCTTCTTTTGGAGTTTCTTCTTCTTTAACTTCCTGTGTCTTTTCTTCTTCTATCACGTTAACTCCAGTGACTTTTTTCCTAGTTATCATAATGGTAAAATTTTTTGCAGCCAACCCTGCTATATTTTCAGCTATACACGTGTAGTATCCAGCATAAGGATCGTGCACTGATATCACCAATAACCTAGACACTTTTTCTCGTTCTCCTCGCGAAATTGAGATAAACAAACTTGGCTCGGAATTGTTTGTTAGCACCCTTCCTTTCCAGAGCCAATGAATGTCCGGTAATGGATCTCCTCCTAATCTGCATTCCAATGTAACATTATCTCCTTCAAGAACATTACGAGCACTAGTAGTATTGAGGAATACGGGAGGACAAGCATATTCGGCAGCAGTCACTTGCCTCCAGCTTCTACCCTTTAATCTAACTGGTCTGTAACAAATAGGAGGGATATATGGCACATTATTAGTGTCCAACCATAATCGAAGACTTCTAAGGTCACAATCACATCTCCACGGATTACCATCGATAGTAATTCCGTGAAGCGAAACGAGAGGGAGCATTGTTTTACCATGAACATTTTCGAGATTATTGCCATCTAATTTCAAAACTTCTAATTTTTCTAAACCTTCAAAAGCTCTCGCAGCAATACTTTCCAGCTTGCAGTTGCTCATTTCGAGAATAGTCAGAGCTTTCAGGTCAATAAATGCTTGAGCCGGAATGAAAGAAATGGGGTTGCTGTTTAATAAAAGATGACGGAGTAGGGGCACATGGTTGAATGCAACGGACGGCACGTGAAGCAATAGGTTTTCGCTGAGGTCAAGTTCTATCAAATTCGTTATTCTGTACAGAGCATATTCATCCACAATTTCTATACCACAACGAGATAAATATAATCTCTGAAGATTAACAAGGCCTGCAGCTAAAAATCCATTGGGTGGTAGAAAGGTGAGATTATTGCGGGATAAATAAAGGACTTGCACACCTGGGTCAAGTCCCATGGGTAGTCTATCAAAACCTAGATTAGGACATTCAGCCGTTTGTTTGCCATTTCTCCATATACAGTTGCATTTTGGGTGGCAAGGAAACCCGCTGCTACTCACTGTCAACGTTAGTATCACGCAGGTCACAGTCATCCAACTAAGATGATTGACAGGCAGCCAGCCTGTCATATCTGGGAGACCCAGTCTAGGTAATAGCACTACATTCTGTCACAACACCAATATTCGGTGCTTGAGGAAATGCGTAGTCTCATATTTTTCTCCATTCCACTCACCGGAATCCTCGGAAAAACCGAGAGAGATTATCAAAGCTGTCAGCCTCATCTAAAGGCAACTGTAAAAAGAAAAAAAATCAAAGATTGTATAGTCTGACTTAAAACTTTAATTACTATAATTACACCTACATCTATTGAATTAAAATTAAAATTCTTGTAGAAATTAGAACGTCCACACTTATCAAAGATTTTCTTCAACGTCCAAAGTACTTGATATACCTTCTAAAATTACAAATAAATGTGGACACTAATCTTCACAAGATCATTTTACTTTAACAATAATGGTTCATTAAAATCTAGGTATTACAAGTTAATTATAATTTAAATTTCATTAATTATATAAATAGCATTAAGAATGTAATTTGTCCTTTAAAGAAATCAGCTCTAGTTAAAAATCAATCGTAATTAATTTTATCGATCAGACTTAAATATAAATAAATAATACGAATTGATGAGATTCAAATTTCACTCATTTCTAATCTTTTAACTCAGTAAATATAAAAGATGTGCGGCGAATGGTAAACCGATACAAACAGTTCACCTATCGACCTAAAGCAGCTGGTATTTTTTCACACGCCAATCATAGAGTTCGCCAGGTCATCAAATTGTTATTACTGTCGATCGTTACCTGGTCGACTGTAAGTCTCCAACAGTTCTCAAGGGAGATAATCAATCAAAAAGATGTTCAGGTCAGAACTGAAGGTTACACGATGGTGTCAGAATACTCAAGAGTTTAAGGACAAAGATGGGAATATTATTTCAAGATGAGTCGAAATTAGGTTCTAACACTTAAGCTTTTGCAATTTCCTACTAATAAACATCGTCTTCTTCGAGTTTACTACGAGTATTTGAAATGTATTAAGCGCAGTGTAAGATGATGATGATGATGATGATAAATTTGTTACACAATTAGTAGATATTAGGTTTTCTTCATTTGTACGCTTGGATTAGAATAATTTCTAGCAGTAAACAGTAAATATAGATTTAATTTTGTATAAGTATTAAATGAATATTTAATTTTTGTATTAATTAATTTATGGAAGAAAACATTTTTGTCACGAAGTGTTTGGTACTCAGCACAACGAATACTTAAAAAATTTGACAAATGACAGGATTTTGTCTTGAAACCGTCTTCGTTTCATAAAAAAAGAAAAATTTACCGTAGTGGAATGTCTTATTTCATCAAAAAATAGCGATGCTGACAATAGATAGTGAAAAGAAGACGTTTAGATGAACCGAGAAATTTTTTCTTTAACTGAAAATTTTCTTCAATTCCAATCTGAGATTTATCAGAAAAAGGTCATTGCACCATATCTGTTTCAGTATCTAGAAGAGAAGAAATTTATTGATTGGAACTCATAGAGTCACATTGTGGATGTAATGTGTGATGGTGGTCATCGCTCAAATACACCGCTCCACATTATCTGCCAGACTGGAGTTGACCTGTTCCCATGGAAACCACACTCTCACTGATATTCCGAAACTTTGGCTACTACACAAAAGACTTAAGTGCAAATAATATAATAAATTCAATAGCAAATGTTAAAAAGAAGAAGCAAATTTGAATTAATTTGAAGCTTTGTATTACTTCTCTTCAAAGCCCAAAAGGCAAAGTATGCTAAAATCTGATTAATTTTAATTCTAAATTTCTAAGAATTTTAATAAGCTTAACTTTAGAGAATTCTTGTCCGTAGCACACAAGATGGATTAGTAAACTAATTACTGCGTGTCNTTTTAATTATTTTTATGTCCAAACTGATTTTAACCAGATGTATAGTAAGGTAACATTCCAATAGACAATATGCAAAAGGTTTTTTTCAGTTTACAGCAGTATTTATTACACAAAATTTAAGTAAAGCTTAACATGCCGATCTTGCCCCGATCTCCCCTACATCGCAAACTTTAATTTTTGCATTAAATAAATATTAAATTAATTTACTTTCCTATTCTCAAACAGATTTAGAATCAAAGAAATATTTTTGAAGAATTAAAATAAAAAAAAAATTCCAAAATTCTTAGAAATATATGTTTTATTAGAATCAAAAGTGTTTAGATTTAATCAGTTAGAAACTTGTTTGATTCTTTGTTTCTCATAGAAAAGTTTATAGGAAAGAAAAGGAAGCTTTCCTGTTCTTGTTTAACAGTGCAGGTAGTCATCATGTTCAGTCTTCCTTAAATTTCTCATCTTAGTTGATGCACGATGAGTTCGAAGGCCCGAGGTTATGCCCAAGTCACAAAGAAAAACTAGACAGGTCGAAGTTTGAGTCCCCCGAATCAAGTAACTCAACTGTATTTTTTCCCTTTTTTTTCTTAGTATTTACAACTCATACATTTTATATGTATAGAGAAATATTTCAGATGATGTAACACGAAAATATTTCTTAAATACATCAAAAAATTTATTCGAAATCTGTAAAAATGCATCATAAACTCTTAAAATTCCCCGATTTTGATTATAAAAAGACGTAAAAATCTATCAATGACACAGAATATCTAGAATACCACATTATAAAAATATTTTTACTTTACAAAGCGTTGAAAGTTAACTTGGAATAATAATTTTTGAATTCTATGATTTATTATTCACATAAAACTTGTATTCCGTCTACAGATTCTTTCCTTTTTATATATAAAAATATTGAAATACTTTTTAAAGTTTCAGTATTTAAACAATAATTTAAACATCCGAAATTCAAAAATAATGAAAATAGAAAAGAAATAATGTTAAATACGTAAATTTGAAGCAATTTTAAATGATTAATAGTGGCTAATGTTTTATATTAATAAGCTCTTGTCATACAATATAAATGACTTTCTGAAGATGAAAATATCTTTTAACATTTTATCTCATCAATTGACATAGTTTAGATAGTTCCTTTATACTAAAGCATTCGCAATTGAAATATAAAAGAGAATATTTTATATAAATTGCTTCTTATTATAGTTTTATTACTTCTTTTATGATGAAACGATAGAAATACAATATAGCAAATAAACAACTGAAGAAAATTATAGTTTTATTTTTAGAATACTTAATACGAAAGGAATGAAGAGATATAAAATGATTTTATATATATATAGAAAACCGTGCAAATTCTCTTCCACTTTATCTCTCTTTCTTATCAAATGAAATGTTATAATTTATGCAGGTGACAGATATGCCTATTCCAGTCAATTTATCTTAGAAAATATTTGTTATTGGTAAGGATTTCCTTTCATTATAAACCAATTTATTCTACTCGAAAAAATAAAAATATTTCCTTATTAACTTCAATAAGAAACTTTCAATGAAGACGTCAAAGACGAGGATGAGAAAAAGAAATCGAACATTCTTCATAGCGTAAGAGAGCAAACCACCATAAGATGACATAAAATTCAATCGTGTAAGCGAAAGATTGATTTATAATTCATTATTTTTTTTTACTTCGATAAAAGGTAAATGAAGCTTTTATATTATTTTGTCAAGTTATCACGGTTCAGTGGTTACTTTGGTGTCATCTGACGAGACTGAAAGAGAGTCAAAGAAATCGTTGGTTTAATTTCCAAAATTACTTTAGCGACAACAAGTTGCACTCAAAATAACGAGTTTCACAGATTAAGAAAAAAAATTAAAAAGAGAATTAAAAAAATGTTTAGTAATCGTTCAATTTTTCATTATCTATGTTTCAATTAAAGATAACAAAAGATGTTTTAGACTCTTATAAATTTTTAAATTAACTTAATATTGATTTACCAAATAGATAAATGATAAAATAATTTAATATAAAATACTTTTATTACTAAATATTCGACTTATTAATCTCATAAATTTTAATTCACCAGCTCGAAATAATTATTTTAAATATTATTTTTTACTGTTTAATATAATTTAAAATATCTGAATAAAAATTTTTATCATATTCTAATTTTTTTAGAATAAATTTATTCATTTTTATCTTAATATAATGAAACTTTAGTTTTAAAAATTTAAATTAATGTTATCTGGAAAAAAAACTAGAATTTATGTATAAAAGAATTATCAGAAAAAGTCTTGATATTGTAGCACTTAAACTTTTTTAAAGTCGTTAAAACTCTTTTTATTACAATAAATTTAAATTCTTAAATTTTACCATTAATTGACGGGGAAAAAGTTAATTACTATCTATCTTGAAGCATAAATATTTTGTTAAATGTAGCGATAAAAGTAACGATAATCATCATAACTAGCTTTAAAAATTTATAACAGATAAATTAATTATATTTTTACAATGATTTAAGTGAAGTTTTAATATACGAATTATATATTTTAGCGAAAATACTGAATGAAGAAATAGAAAAAGAGAGAGAGAGAGAGGAGAAAGACGTACAGTACGTTTAATGTTGAATGTTTCATCAAATTAGCCTAGAGCAAAGAGCGCTAGATAAATAATACAAATCTAACACACTTGTTCATTATTGAAGTCATGCAGAACAAACTAAAATGCTTACAATTCTGTTTTATAGACAACTATTGCCAGAAGGTACAACTCTTTCTTTGTTGTTGATTTAAATTTTAAAAAATAATAGAAAAAAGTTATAGTATAAAACTTATACTTAAAATTCTTTCATCTTTAAAATTTATGAATATAGTTATATAGTGCTTGCACATCGATGTAAAGAACTGATATTTATTATGGTACTTCCATATTCCAATTATTGATTTTTTTGCAATCAATCTTTCTTGTTTTATTTTGTTTTGTTTTTGTTTTGTTCTTGCAAACACCATTTCCAGCTGCTCCTTTATGTTTGTATTAAAGTGTGTAAATGAACTACAACAATTAATTTTATGAATTTGTATTATTTAGCAACAATAAAATGAAGGTTTCTTTTTCGTAAGCAAGTTATAATTTTTATCTTTTAACTCCTCAAATATTTTAGTAAAACATTACACTGTTTATACTTTAAGTTACTGCCTTTGTAAGAAAAAAGAAAAAAAAAGAATGATAAGAACAAGATAGAAAATAATAACCGTAATTAAGTGTAAATATTTTGAAATGATTTGTAATCATCGTATTTTTTATTTAGCTTTCTTTTTTGTGTCTAATTTTTAAATCCTTTTTTAAAAAAAAAAAATATGTGAAATAAAACCTAAAGCTAGTTCACAAAAGCAGAAAGAATATAAATTGTAAACAGTTGTAGGC